AGAATATCTTTTCAGGACATAGGTTCATGGACATAAACCTTTTGAAAATACATAACAAATCCACAATTTGTAGTTTTGTAAGAGACGAATCATACGATCATTTATCTAAACGTTTAGGAAATCACATCGGGAATGAAAAGATAGTTTGAAAATTGCACTTCCATAAATGCGACTCGTCATGCTTCTCAGCTGTGACCTTTATATATAAACCAGAAACGAAGCAATTTAATATTGAAGTCGTAACTTCAATATCGTATATTCGTTCAGAATCATGGTGTTGGACTAACATCCGATGATCGTCGTGAGGTGAAAAACAAACCGTGACGAGACACGGGACGAAGACAAAACCAGCGTATTATTTTATTACAGCGACAGTTTTATGACGCGTTCAACCTTCGAAGCTCGTTTTATACAAATCGTATGCCTGGCGACACACCAACCAACAAATACGATCGAACTTTCCTATACCGCCCTGTTCTATACTAACTTCGCGAGAAGCATGACCACCTTGCGAGTTCGATCATCGATCACCTATCGATAAATGATTGACAGCCAATCGACGCGTTCCAATAAGAATCGTTTTACCGCGTCTTCGGTCCCGTCAATTCGAACAACACGCAACGGAGATCCATTGCGAATCATTACGCCAAGAACGGTGCTTTTCAATTCGCGCGTCTTTCTCATTGATTCAAGCTACTCTGGCGTCGAATTTGCCACGAGCATAAACATCAATGTGTTTCCGTGGTTTTCTGTTACGACTAAGGGACTACGGGAAAACGCCCTTGCGATCGATTTGATTATTATTTACTGGAATCGCTACACGGCGTATTAATGCGCTTGTCGATTGTGCCGCAAAACACGACGTGACATGTCGATGGTGGTGGTACTGTTGTTGTTGGTGGTGGTGTTGCGCGACAAAGGCAACAAAAGAACGTCATCGAACTGTAAAGAAGCAAGAAGCGGACTTACCTCCTCGGCGAACTCGAAATCCCCGTCAAATTTTCGCTTGCACCTGGCCTCGGTGACCAGAAGCACCAGTAGCACCGTGGCCGCCAACATCCAGGAAAATCGCATGGCTCTTGATCCCGCGGGAGAGCACCGTCCAGCACCGTGAACCAACGGGACGAGGAGAGACGCCGCGCAGATCCCCGCAACGCAAACACGTGCACCGTCACCCGACAACGACTCGACAACGACGAACGACGAACAAAAGCGATCTCGCGGCGAACAGCTATGACAAGGGGCGAGCAGCGTTGAAAAGGCGCGCACGTAAACTCCGGCACACGGTGTGTTCGGCTGTGTAAACCGTGTACTCCGCAAGGCGGAAGCGTACAGCTTGACGGTCGAACGAGTTGTGACTGCGCGAACGGAGCCGAGGCGACGCCGCACTACCACAGACGCGTAGCCGTCTATTGGTCGGATTCCGGCGAATGGCGGGGAGGGACGGTGGGGGCTGCGGGAGGTCGCCTATATAGACAGAACCACCCCTCTCTCTCTGTTCCTTTCCCATGAGCTACGTCTACCTTGGCGAGTCTCCGGTAGCAAGATTCGCGCGAGCGCGTGGTACACTGCGCCAGTCAATACCTCCACCTGCTCTCCTCGGTTCACCTAGCCGGTATTGCCAGCAACTTGACGAGAGAAAAAAAAACGGCGCGGGGAATTCGGCAGGAGGGCACCGAGAAGGAATCCAGTCTTGCATCGGATACTCGGCCAGAAAGCGGACCGACCTGACAACATTTTCTTTCTTTCTCCTTTCTGTCTTCTTTTTTTTT